CAAAGTGCCTCTTTCAGGTGTATGGCGGGTTGGTCTCCAAAAATCTTGCACATGTTTTAACTTCAAAAGACTCTGACTGGATTGATTGGGATTGTGCAATACATGCCTCATAGGCATCAGATGGACCATATAGTAAGAATGTTTCTTATACTACCTTGTCAATAATGTCAACTTGATAACAGCTGTCAGATTCTGCTGGTAGTTTCATTGCCTTGAATACATTGAATGATATCTGCTCCTCTCCCAATCTTAAAATCAACTGACCTCTTTGAACATCAATTAACGCTCTCCCTGTTGCCAGAAATGGTCTGCCAAGTATCAATGGGACGTCCTTGTCCTCTTCCATGTCTAGAATAAGAAAATCCGTTGGGAATATGAACTTTTCAACCTTGATAAGCACATCTTCAATTATTCCTCTGGGATGTGTTAGTGACCTGTCAGCCGGCTGAAGTGTCACAGTGGTTGCTTTAGCTTCTCCCAAACCGAGTTTCCTGAAAACAGACAAAGGCATTAAATTAATACTTGCACCGAGGTCACATAATGCTTTATCAAAATATACTTCACCGATTGTGCAGGGAACAATAAAACTCCTTGGATCTTTTAGTTTTGATAGAAGCTTATTCTGGATTCTAGCACTACATTCCTCAGTAAACATAACTGTCTCATGATCTTCCAGCTTGCGTTTATTTGATATGATATCCTTCAGAAATTTCGCGTAGCTAGGCATCTGGAACAATGCATCAGCTAGTGGGATGTTGATATGGAGCTTTTTGAAGATTTCTAGAAATTTTTTGTATTATTGCTCCACTTTTTGCTTCTTTAAGCACTGTGGAAAGGAAATCGGAGGCTCGTAGGGGTTGACTGTGACTTTGGCCTTATCTTGTGATTCTTCTGAATTTTCCTTTGAACTCGATTCCTTTACAACAATCTCTTCTTCAGCGGAGGAAGATGTTTCTCCAATCACAAGCGGTCTCTTGACATGGATTTCAGGTAATTGCACTCCACTTCGAGTTGTAATGGACTTGGCTTGCTCTTTAGGATTGATTTCTGTATTACTTGGTAAGTTACCTGATGTTCTGCCAGTCAATGCGATGGCTAGCTGCCCCATCTGAGTTTCCAAATTTTTGATGGCTGCATTTTGATTTTGAAGTGTAGCTTCGACCTTCTCCATGAATTTTCCTATCATATCTTCCAATTAAGGCCTCTTCTCCTGTTGTTGAAATTGCCCCTGTGGTTTATTCTAATTTTGGTTGCTCCAAGAGAAGTTGGGATGCTTCTTCCAGCTGGGATTGAAAGTCTCGCCATATTGATTATGCTGCTGGCGTTGTCTCCACTGTGCGTAATCTGCTTGCTCAATTCCTTGCATGAGTATTGGGCAATCTGATTTTTGTGCTCGGCTTCACATTCCTCACAATTGCTCTTCTTAGCTTGTGATGCTTGTGATATGCTTTCCACCTTGTGATACAGAGAGTCAATTTTTGCAGATATTGCTGAATAAGCGTCCACCTCATAGACACCTGGAGTTTTCTTTGGGATTGCCCTCTCAGAAGACCACATGGCTGATGTGGTAGCCATTCGCTCAAATAATTTCAATGCCCCATCAATTGTTCTTGTGGATATTGAGCCATCTGATGCTAAATCCAACATGCTCTTATGCTATGGAAGTAATCCTGTGTAGAACAATCGAATCTGGGTCTTTTTATCGAACCCATGCTGAGGGCATTTTCAGAGCATGTTTTTAAATCTGTTCTAGGCTTCATCAAATGATTCATTCTCTCTTTGATTGAATACTGATATATCATGTCTCAGCTTTGCTATCTTGGCTGGGGAGAAGAACTTTGTGCAGAACTTGGGTGCAAACTCATTCCATGTAGTGATACTTGCAATCGGGAGTGAATCCAACCATTCAAGTGCTCTGTCTCGTAATGTATGTGGAAAAAGCCTCAACCTAATAGCGTCATCCGAAATCCCTTGGTATCTGAAATGTTGACACATATCCAGAAATCGAGATACGTGTGTGTTTGGATTCTCCTTGGCTTTACCATAGAATTGGTGTCCATTTTGAAACAGCTGTATTACATTGGTCTTCAATTGAAAGTTGGGTTGCCTGAACAGTGGATATACAATGCTGGATTGGCTTTGAATAACTTGAGGAGTCAAGAAGTCGCTCAGAATTTCATTTCCTTCATCCATTGCCTCTCCTTCGTTAGCTTGAATAATAGGATTGTTTAATTCGTTGGCCATTTGTACTTGTGCTTCGTGGTGATCTCTTTGTCGTCGATGAAAGGTGCGCTCAATTTCAGGATCAGTTGGAATCAATTCTCCTCCAGGCAATCGTGACCTGCAAATCTGAGAATTAAAACCAATACGAGCACTGAGATTCAAACAATTTAATTAATTAAAACACAAATAGAGGATAATAACCTAAAATAAAAATAAAAATAAAAACAAAATTATGCTCGTAAAATAAAACTAGAGTTCGAATTAGTACCTCGAGAAATAAAATTAAACTAAACTCAATCCTCGACAACGGCGCCAAAAACTTGTTCGCGAAATCATTTCTTTCGATTTTAAACCACCGCAAGTGTACGGTTCGTTGACAAGTAATAAAATGGATTCAATGAGTCCGAATATCATTCCATAGAGATTGATTAGTTCAAATTGTATCTACCTTAACGTTAACCGAAACTAAATTACCAAAATGGATGTAGACCTAATTGAACCTCAATTATGCAATTTTTGACTTATGATTAAATTAAAATTAATATGCAAAACAATAAATTAAACTCGAGAATGAAATCATAAAAGTTGAGAACGTATTTGTTATAATTATTGGGAATGAAATACGCTAGAATCACGAATTCCCATGCAATTATCACTTTAAACCCTAGTTTCACAATATGACAACACATTTCGATTTTGACGAATCAATGTTCCTAAGTCTATTCAATACTCTCTCTCGAGATGTATCAAACCTATTTCTACACACCACCAGTCTATATTTCTATGACAAGAGTATATGTAAAAATGCATGAAATTTTATGAACATTTAAATATTCACATAGAGCATAGCGGTATATTTCTATCCACTATTGGACCCTACAATGATTTATACTATGTCAAATCTATTCCAATTTTCTCGAATGCAAGAATAAATCACTTAAATTCACACAATTACAAGCTCTTAATTGCGAAAACATTTAATTGCATATAAATCATTCAACATAATAGAAATTGTGTCTTACATCAAATTGCAAAACTAGAATATTAAACTTCAATTCACATAGTTCATCGATCTCCTAGCATAAATAAATCTAGCCTAGCACGCTCAAAATAACAAAATACATCAAAGTTTGTATATAAGACATCACCGAGTTGGATAAATCCTGAAGTTCTTCGTGTCAATCCTTGTTCTTGCGCTCAAATCCTCTTCAAGAATTATTTTTCAGCCTCCAATTACGTTCTCGACATCTCTGGAATGTTTTTGGTATTTATATCCCGTGGAAAATTAGGTTACCATAGGTGTTTCAATCGTACAAGGAAAGAAAATTTTCTCGCCGATTTTGTACCATGCGACCGCATGATTTTAATCCGTGCAGCCGCATGATTATCATCTTTTTTTATTTTTAAACCCTACATCACTTCGTGCGGCCGCACGACTTTTCTACCATGCGACCGCATGGTAGAAATTATCTTTCACTTCCTGCAATTTGGTCCCTTAACTTTAATCTTCCACTTTTTTACATCTTTTCTTCATTCTTCACATTTCATCATCCCAAAAGGTCGTCAATTCGTATTTGGCACACTCAATTTCTTGATTTGTTCATCGGGTCAACTTTTGAGTAATTGCATCTTGGTCCTTGAACTTTCACTTTGTGTCATTTTAGTCCTTTTTCGCGTCTTTTCTCGTGTATTTCACCATGTCCATCGGTGTTACCTACAATTCACAAACATAATGAAATTAAGCCACAATTCGATCATTTTATTCATAATTAAGTCATTTTTGTGACCCAAATAAGTGTGCAAAATCACATTTATCAGACTTGGTTAACCATTCAGCAAAATATTTCCAGTAGCTTGTACTTCAACATCAATTTGACTTTCTTCATTAGCATCTAAATCAACAGGGACAGATTTATTTTCTGCACTATTCCAATCCCAGCTACTGTCCTCATCAAATAAAACATCGTTAGACATGAAAAGCTTTTTGATTTACTGGATTATACAACCTATAGGCCTCGAAAACTTCACTAACACCAAGAAATACGCATTTCACACCTTTGTCATCAAGTTTACTTCTCTTTTAATTAGGTACATGCGCATAAGTTCAACATCCAAAAATTCTAAAATGGTCAACAGAAGGCTTGAAACCACTCTATGCTTCTTCAGGTGTCATGTTCTTTACAGAAAATGTGGGGCTTCTATTCAAAACATAGACACTCCAACTTATAGCTTCCGGCCAAAAATTTTGGGATTGTTTTTTTGCCAACATGCAATGAACCATATTCATAATAGTGCAGTTTTTTCTGTCTGACACTCCATTCTGATGTGGTTAATAAGCTGCAGTAAGTTGCCTTCGAATTCCTTGCATCTCACAATAATTAATGAATTTATGGGAATTGAACTCACCTCCACAACCAGTGCGCAAAGTCTTAATAGATTTTTCAAATTCATTTTCAACCTGTACCTGAAATCTTCTAAACGCCACAATAGCTTCAGATGCTTCTATTAAAAATGAACCCACGTTTTTCGACTAAAGCCAACCTAAAGGTGATAAAATACCTCATTTTACTATTTGATGTTGGGTTTATTGATCCACAAATGTCTGAATGGACTTGCTGGAGTGGTTGAATGGCTCTCCATGTGCTAGTTTTTGGGAATGAGTCACGATACTGCTTCCCAATTACACATTCCTCACAAACTTTTTTAGGAGGTTGAATTTGTGGGAGTCCTTTGACCATGTTTTTTTTTTTGTTGCAAAGCTTTCAATCCGCCAAAATTCAAATGCCCGAAACAATAGTACCATAGCCATGTTGTGTCTTCATAGTTGATGCATAACATGCCCCATCAATAAGTTGAGTTTTTGTTTCCAAAGGAAACTTAAGATTACTTGCGATGATGACCCGTGCAATACATCCTTTTTCAGAATTATGAATTTGGCACATTCCCCTTTGAGTAATTGTAGAAAATCCATCCTCTTGTAGATGGCCAAGACTAATCAAATTGCTTTTCAACTCTAGAACATAGAATACTCCAGTAATTGTCTGCACAATTTTACTCAACAGAATGTTAATATTTCCTTAGCCCATTACATAGATATTAGCATTGTTTCCAAGCTTTATATTTTCTCTAAAATTTTCATCTAATTTAGAGAATAAGAATTTATTACCACTCATATGATTGCTGCACCGAAAGTCCAAGTACCAGACATCACCTGATTGAATCTAATTTTTATTTGTGTAGGCAGTCAGAATCATCTCTTACTTAGTCTAAACCAAATTCATCTTTGTCTCATTTTCTTTGTAAGGGCATTCAAACTGATACTAACCAAGCTTGTGGCAGTGATAGCATTCAACATTAGCCTTGTCATATTGTTGATTGTGTGTTGATACACGTCCTCTACCTCTTCCACGTCCTCTAAATCCACCACACCCTTTACCTCTTCCAAGAGATGTTGCTCCATTAATATTAACTTTCAAGGCCTGCTCTTCCACAACATGACTAGTCATCCACGGCTCATAGACCAACAATGAACTTTGCAACTCATCAATTGAAAGACTATCGATGTCCTTTGACTCTTCAATAGAACACACCACATAATCAAATTTTGAAATTATAGAGCGAAGAATTTTTTTCAATAACTGCCACATCTTCCATTTTCTCTCCATGAATTCGCATTTTGTTTGCTTTGACAGTGTATTTGCAAAGTAATCATTGACCGATTCCCCTTTCTTCATGTACAGGATCTCAAACTCTTTGCGAAGAGCTTGAAGTTTTACACATTTCACCCTTTCTGTGCCTCGATATTTCTTTTTCATTGGTTCCCATATATCTTTAGCATTATCCTTTTTTAATATGGTTTCCAGTATGGCGTGATCTATTGCTTGGAACAGATAATTTTTTGCCTTCAAGTTCTTCAATCTCTGCTCATCAAGAACCTTAGTCTCTGCATTTGTCAATGTTGTTCCCCTTGCTGGTTCGGTGAAAACAATCTCCACAATACCCCAGTGCTCTTTGGATCTTCGAAAATGTTCCATCAGCATATTCCAATGGTCATAATGACCATCAAAGCAAGGGATTGCTAGTTGCACAAAATTGCTATCTGATGCCACTTAAATTTGCTTCTGGAAGTGAGAAAGTTGTTGCTTCCTTGATGATCAGACCCCTTGTGGCTCTTATATCACTTGTTAACACCAAGTGTTGTGAAACAAAAATGAGAGTGTTTCTTATTATTCAATCAAAATTAAGAGATGGCTCATATAGCCTTATATGAAGTAAATAATAGGAGAAAAATCTACAGCAACTAATCTCACGTCTAACTAACCTAGAAAAGTGGGATATCCCTAAAGATTAGATAAAATGCAACCATTTCCCAAACAAATAGGGATTATTAACAAATAGTTAAACAAAGAATAAATATTTAATAGTGGTGACGGCAATGGTGCAGATTGGGTAATAATCTTTGTGATGGCTTGGCCTCGTGGTTCTTTTGTACAAATTTGGTGGCAAGATAGTAGTGATGGTGGCAGTGAGGTTATGAGAGAGTCAGAGAGGGAGTAATGATTTTTTAAATTAAAAATCTATTGCCATCGCTACAAAGAAATATTAAGTGTATATACGTTATTCTTGAATTAAAAAATCTAGTTCCTCTATTTGTTTGGATAAAATTATAATTTGATCATAAAGAAAATGAATAAAGAGATTTACGAAATGTGTGAATAATAAGCGAGCAGTAGTTGTGAAAATGTTTTTTTTTTAAATTATAGTAAACTTGTATTTTTAACCAAATAAACATGTTCGTTAAACTTCAAATTGGTAATATTTATTAACTAGAATTTATAATATTTGCCTCGTTGGTTAAAAAAAATAATAATAAATAAAATTGCGCTTCTAAAATCGCAGTGAGTCTAAGAGCATGTTTGAACCCTATTTTTAGCAAAAAAATGCATTTTGGAATAGTTAATTGATAGAGAATGTGTGGTTAAAAAATAAGAAATTTTTTTGAATTTTACGTGTAATATTATTTTGAATAATGTATGATTGAAAAAAAAAGAGAGAAAAATGAATTTTAAAAATAATGGAGATCAAATATGCTATAATTAAAGTACTATACTTATGGATCATGACCCTTGCCTAGAAGGGTAAATCCTGCACAAAATTCAGGGGGTTGTCCAAGAAGAATGGTCTTGCGGATAATTGTCGAACTCGAAAGTGTTGATTTGTTGAAACAACATATCAATGTCTATCCAGTCCCCCATGAGGAGACACGTTGAGACAAGCTAAAATTTTAAATTTAAATAGAAGCCCTCTAAGTTTTTAAATATTTTAATTTTTGAACAAGTTCACTGAATTCACGGCATGATATTGTTATCTAACATTTTTTAGGATTATTAAAAGGAAGGGAAGGGGGGGGGGGGGATCGTCTCCTTCATTCCATCCAACCTTCTATTCCGCCCAATCCTGAGTTTCCCTACAAAAGTTCTTCATTGATCAACTCTCCCGATCTTTTTGTGCTTCATTTTCGAACTGAAGCATTAAAGACACTAAACATCTATACATGGATGAGAACAAAAACTCACATTTTCTTTTAAAAAAAGAGGAAAATAAATGTTTATATGATAAATTAAGTTCTCTGAATCGTGCAAATATATTCCGCTTGCATGTTCGATCTTGCAAAGTAAATAATTTCTTTTTGTCCTTAACTTTTAGTGGCTTTGCACAATTGCTCCCCAACCTTTCATTTGGTGCAAAACCACCAAGATCAACCAAATATGTTCAAACATTTGTGTGCAAATCAGCCTTGACACTGATAAACTTTACGGAATACAATCCTATCTTTTATAAACTTTGTCGAATACAATTCTAGCATTTGTAAACTTTGCACAAGTAAACACTAACCTTTCTTATATCTCAATAAAGCTAGTTCGTACAAAGATGGTTGACAACCAAAACTGTATTTAAAATGAATGAATGTGATACTGTCAAGTAAGATACTCTTCTTATATTTGCTTAATTCAACCTTAACACATGGAATACAACACTGCAAAGTCAGCAATACCCCAAAATGCTTTTGGACTGAAAGTCCATGGAATGGAAATGAGATTTCTAGGCACATTATGTGTAGGTTTTCTCAAAGTCGACAGCCTTTGTAGAGAGGACTACCATTATTTGCCATTTTATCGACAATTTAACTCAATCTTATACTGTATAATATCAGGTCATTACTCCATAGCCTCTTTCTCCACTCCACTCTTTCAAGAGCCATGTCTAAAGATAAAGTAAAATAGGATTAAATCCTTTAATTTTATTTATTTATTAATTTAGAGAGGAAGGTTCATTAATCCTTTTTATTTATCTTAATTTATGGATAATCTCCAAACAGTAATGACACAATAAACTTACTTCAGCATTTCTGCAAAACTCATAGCTTCATTAATTCCAGGAATAGCATTCGCTAAGTTGGATAGAAATCCATCTGTATTATTTGAACCCAATGTTTTTTCATTCTCCACATTCGATCAGCTTCCTGTGAGGCAAAATTGCAAATTTGCAATGAATAAAAATCCAAGATACAAGAAATCCACACACACACACACACACACACACACACACACACACACACACACACACACACACACACACACACACACACACACACACACACACACACACACACACTACATATATATATATATATTAGAATACTTCAAGGTGCATAGTATTTATGAATTTTTCATTCGAAAAAATGATAATTACAGTATCTCTCGTATTCGGCCTTAAACCACATACTAGCTATGTATTATGTTATCGAGTTAGCTTAAAAAAGATAATAGAAATGGTATTTTTTAAATAGAAATTTATAAAGTAATATCCACTTTAAATCACCTTAAATAATATTAACTATTTAAATAAAATATTTAAATTCATTCTGATAGAATATATCCTCTTTGAAATAACAATGAGTAGGCTTATGCACAACCACCAATCCTACTTATTTATTCCTTACTAATTGTGCAAAATGTAGGTTCTTTACTTATTTCAACAATAGAATATCTGGACAGTTTAAAATTTACTGGAGGGAATAGAATATCAACAGTGTGTAAAAAGCCAAGGAAGATCATCAAATTAAACCTGATGTAACGTATCATTATTATCCTTTTCCCATTTTATCACAAATAGGGCAATAACTAGAAATACTTGATATTTTATTTTTTATTTTTTTCAAAAAAATTTAGATACTCTATTAATTACTAAAATTAAAAACATAATAAAGACTTAGAAAGGAACTCAATTTGACTTCCAGCTAAAGGTGCAATAAAAATCTTATCGTGTATCGAGATAGAGATGCACGATAAAAGCTAATGAAGTGACACATTATTCTCCCTAACGAGACTCACCACTTCAAGAAAATCCCGTAAATATATTATCGCTACTTAAACTACTTGATTCATTTATATGAATCAACGCAATCACAGGCTTCTGGAGTACTTGTCCCATCTTTAATTTATGCCTTTCCTGAGAACCTAATAATATAAACAAATGAAATATGGTAATCGTCTAGAGCTAAATTAGAAAGATCAACAAAAATATCTCTGCCATGGTCAGTCTGTTGAGAAAGTAGTCAAGAAAGAAATGTCACTGTTTGAGAAAGGAAGATTCTCTCCTATGATTCGTTAGCAAAGAACATTATGGACGATTATTATAAATATAATATTAGCCTCTTTATTCACACCATATTAATTTGTAGTAGAGGACTTAAAATATGACAGCTTAGGCATTATAAATTGCTCTCTCACATGCATAAAGGTTCATAAACCTCATACTCTTTAATTTGCATGAAACTAATTATTCATATATGTTTTGTTTCTTCTTCTTCTTCTTACAGACATGTACGAATAATTTCGGGTCAGGAAGGATCGGGTAATCTGCATCCTGAGGTTTAGATAGATGGTTTATAAAATCCATTGCATCTAGTCCTCGTGATGCAGATTAACCCCATCCCTTTCCCCATTCTCGCTCTCCTCAAACTGCTCATACAGAGAAGAAAAAGCTCGAGCCAACTTTATCCACTTATCGCAAGCACGAAACAAGATGTTGAGGTACCGCCCCAAAGGTAACATGGCTAAAAGAAAGGGGAAAAAAGGGTCTTGTTCCTAATAAATTTGAGGTTAGCCATGTGATTTTTTTTCCTGTCTATCTGGTCATTTCATAGCTAATGGTGCATGAATTTCTTTTACCCTGAACAAATATGATCCAATTATCTCATGAGTGGTCGTCTTTCACTTCATTTATTATCAATTCCATTTATTGACATATATTCTCAATTCTTATGTTATATATTCTCATCTTAATATTGTCGGTTCAAGTGGTTGCAGGGCCTCGGTGACGACATGTACAAACCAGTGGTATATGCTTGGTTCTGCGTATCTTTAGATGAAAGAATTGATTATTGGACAAGCAAATCATCATAAATTTACTAGTGCTTTTTTTTTTTTTTTGGCTAATTAATTTTTCATGCTTTTCCCCAAAGAGAAAAGAAAGATTGCTTTATCTGCTGGGATCTATGAATAAATCGCACTTTTAATTTCATGTTAACAATAATAACAACAACTTGTTATTAGAATATTGTTTCTCTGAAACTTATCCAATAGCTTTTAGTGAATTTCAGGTTAACAATAATAATAACTTGTCATTAGAATATTGATTCTCTGAAACTTATCCAATAGCTTTCGGTGAATTATTTTAAGAAAGAATATTGCATCATACCATCTCAAGTGTGAACAAGATGCAGGTAAGATTTTAGATCCAAATATTTGAGAATCCATGACAGGGTCATCTGCTCCATATAGAAATTTTGGTATACATAAATTGTGGTAGGTGTTGAAATGACAAAATTGTTGGAAAAAATGAGTAAATGCACAATTTTCAGTGGGATCCGTTGGTCCAATTTGAAAGATCAAAGTTGATCCATGTTCTACTCCATGAGAACATCAAAATCATATATTTACTTGCCAAAAATGAAGTTCGAGTGACTGAGAAATTGGAGCTTAAATTTCACCATTGGAAGATGGTTTAATTGAGTTTGTCCCATATAGGAAAAATATGAAAGCAAGAACCACTTTAAATATGGTTGTACATTGGAAGAGTATAATCATGTGTAGTATACAGGCTCTCTCCACGTGAGCGCGCAGAGGGTGTAAATCACGGACCGAAATAGCCTTCGGACCTTGAACTTGTGTACAGGCGCGACCTACGTACATGAATATTGGATCAAAAGAAGCAAAAATTGTCCACGTTTTATAATTTTTTCTTGCTTTCTCCATTGACTTTTGAGTTTCTGAAACTTCCAAAACTCCAAGAAATTGAAGTGACTCAAATATTTATTGTCATAGAGTTAATGGCAAATTTATCTATATAAATTCTCATTTTCCAGCAATTCCAAAACACACAAAAATACTATATAGACAAAATATAGAGAAAAATTGTTCTGCATCACAATATCATTCAGTCTATCTGCATAAATAATTTTTCTATCAATGTCATCTTGGTGGTGATATTATTTTGATACTAATCAGTTCGTCGGAGTAGTTTCTGCAGTGCTCAGATTCTACTAGATTAATTGATCAATTATTGGCATTGAAAAGAGTTGAAAAGACTACCTTATTAGTCATTTTGCTTATAGTCTAGCGGTAATTATGCTTATCCGTCAAAAAAATGGTTGAGATTTATTCAATTGTTTTCAAGCTTTCAAGTTAGCCCTGATCAAGAAAATATACAATCCAAACTTAGCTCACTTCTTTCTTAGCTTTTAATTTGTTATCTCCTAACTTTTTATTTTGGTTAATCGAATAATCTTAAAGTTGAAAATGGTACAGTATTTTGATTGCATGACTTGAATGGCTATGGACCATAGATAACTCAAATTTTGGAAATTTAATCGTTTCAGTACAGTTATTTGAAGATTTATAACAAATTTAGTTCCATCCTCATGTTCTGGATTTCTAGATTACATGGAAAGATCAGACATAGAAAAAAAATATTCGGGCTTATTGAACATTTTTCTTAATTAATTTAGGGTAAAGCAGTAAATATTTTGCATGTTTATCATGGATGAATTCGCATAAAAAACAAACAGTAAATTGTTAATACAGAATAAGACATAGTGGTCAAAAGACTCAATACAGAACCAGCTGCAAAGTGCACTGTTAATACAGAATGAATGAGAAGAAAGAATCTTGACTAAATTATGTGTCCCAGTGTAAGGACATCTTTACATGAATATATTATTTGCAATCATAGTAACATCATTGCAATACTAAACGCACAATGCTTTTCCAACCATAGAAATAAAATATACAGAAGAAATTGATGAATTGGAATCCATTGCCAAAGTGCCAAATGTACTAAATTCTTGATTATATGATACACATTCCAGTTCAGAAAAGCCATCTTTTTCGAAAAATCGAAAAATAAATTAAAATCTGAGATTTTTCTTCTCACAAACACAAACTTTCTCAAAGAAGATTTGAAGTCTTGGCCAAAAAAAAATAAAAAAAAATGGAGTGTTTTGTCCTCATGAATAAAAGTTTCCCAAATTTCGAAATCACTATTTTGTTTCTTGAAATACCGATCACCTTGATCTCAGAAGGAAAATGCTGAGTTCTTGGCCCGGGCCATTATCCGGGCTGATCAAATGGAAAGATTCGGAGTCTGCACTGCCTACAACACACTCGTAATTGGCCCGCATGTACATTATCTCCTCCGATCCGGATCCAGAACCAGGAGGAATAACCCCCGCTCCGACTGTGATATTTTGCATGGTCTTGAGCATTAGGCGGTTCTGCTGTGTAGCCTTGCGGCGGACGGCAAAACCCAACTTCCGGCCGTTGCAGGATAGGGACCAAATGGGGACAGAGTGGAGAGGGCAGCGACTGAGTTCAGATTCGGGGGATTCATCGGCGTTGAACTCGAGTGAAATACGGACCAGCCCATATTGCATTTCATGGACAAGACTAGTGGTCGGGATGGAGAGCTCAAGGAGGAGAGAAGGACGGGTATTGAGTCGATCATGCTGCACGCAGAACCACACATGGCCGCCACGGCGGTGCCCAAAGATTGTTCCGGTAACCATTGTCCTGGAGGATCGTGATGGCGCCAAAAGAGGAGTCACCGGAGAGGTGGGATCGTCATCGTCGGAGCCTTGGTGTTGATTCTCTCGTTGAATGCTTTCTTGATTGGTTAAAGGATTCTTGTCTTCAAGATCATCACGGAGGGATGTGCTGAGGCGTTTCTTGGTGGTGGTGATAGGTGGCGAAGGGTTCAGTGTAGGACTAGGGTGGATACAAGGGAGGAGGAATCGACGGAGGGCATCGATTTTCGTCATGATTTTTTTACTTTTCTTGATAGAAAACGCTTCAAGAATTGAAAAATTGGGAAGGAAATCCAGGAATGAAGAATTGGGATTTCAGTCGACTAATGAGGTTTGAAGGGGTTATTTATACTATTACAAAAACAGAAAGGTCGGGCGGGAAGGAAAATAGCCGTGGCTCCATTCCGGGCCGGGCCCGGGTGCTATGTGCTCTGGTGGGACAAACACTTGAGGGTTTTTCTCTTTTTTTTAGGGTTTCAGTGTCTGAATATTCCAGTAATTGACCATTGACCAAATTATTAGATTCGCATTTTTATGGGGACACGTGTAACAATATTTGTAGCTAGCAGGTAGCAAAATACTACAATAGTAAATTTGCTAGATTCCTTCCATTTTTAGTAGGCCATGTTGGATGTTCCTCTCTCTCCTTTTCCCCTTTTCTTTTATGGTATTTTCTAATGATTACATATACTTTCTTTAAAGTTAATTTATCATTGATTACTACTTGCTTGCTTGAAAATAAAAATTTATTGATTATTTACTCACTTTTATGTATCATTATTCATTATCCATCTCAATTTCGATCGTCTAAGTGAGTTATAAAATTTACGTGACAGATGAAATCCTACATGACAATAAATGGTGTTAGACCTTGATACTTAATTAAATAAGTAATCACTAATATTTATCTTTGCTTACTCAAAAATAGAAGGTTACCACTCGCTCACTTTTAGACAATTAATGTTACATATCCATCATTGATATCAATTCCATTTTTATACATTTTGATTATTTATATGATTTTCATAATTTTAGATTAATTTTTTCAAATTACTTCTGCTCACTCTATTTTCCTCATTTTCTTCTTCTATGAAATTTATTTTTATTTTTTATTGTTCGATTTGCTTCTATGAAATTCACATAAAATCGTTGTCTTCATGAAGGGAATCTTTCACGACGACTGACTATACAATTTATTATAAATTATCATGAACAAAAAAGAAATTCCAAAAAAATATAGAAGAAAAAATTAAGTTGAAGGAATTTGTAAAAGAAAATCAAATCAATTCCTCGAAGCAAAACGAAAATGAATAAATAAAGATCCAAAACAATTTAAGAAAAAATATTAGCTGATGGAATTCCTAGAAGGAAAAAATTGAAGAAAATATAGAGAGCAAAAGTAATTTGTGAATTTTGTAAAAAAAGAATCATATAAATAGACTAAACAAGAAAATTTGAAAATAAATTTTTTAGAAGAAAAAATGAGAAAAATAGAGTGAGCAAAAATAATTTACAAAAATTAATTACAAAATTATGAAAATCATATAAACAAATCAAACAATATAAAAGAAATCTAATATGGTTGATGAACAAGTAACCTACTTGTACAGATAATTTTGTACAAATAGGTTGACAAATTTATGCATGGATTTGTCCATCAATGGATAATTTTGTGAAAAAATAAATGGGTAATCAAAAGCTTTTTAAATTTAAGTGAACAAGTATTTCATCCATCTCATTTATATAGACTTATTTTGTTTTTTTAGACGGTTTATAAAATCTTATTTAATGTTACTGAAAAAAAACTATTTTTGTCAATAACTTATCTATTTTACCCTTATTTATATTTATAGTGAAAAATCGATTATAATTAAGCAAATTAAAATAAGATATATTAATAAACGAACCAAACAAAACCAGATCAATAAAGAAACATAACTATATAATTGGAACAAGTAAAAAAAAATAAAAAATAAACCTATATAAATGAGACGGAGAAAGTAGTAAACGAAAATATAATTTAGTGATTAATCATTTAATTAACTTTCAAGGTTTAACACCGTTTACTGCCATAGAGAGTTTCCATCTGCCGTGCGAATTTTTTGTTCATACGGACAAACAAAATTGAGATGGATAATTGATTGGTATGCTACGTAAAAGTAAGTGAACAATCGATAACCTTTTATTTTTGACTAAATAAGTAGAATCCAGAGGTAAAAGTTGATGATTAACCAATTAACTATACTTTCTTACATCTACACAATCACATATGAGCGCGCTCGAACTGGTCAAGTTGAGAATCAAGTAGACAAAACGTTCTCAACAAAGTTATTCTTAAAAAGCAACTTGGACTTTAAAAGAAATCTTTTAAGAAAATTCCAACTGCAGATAGTTCAATTTAACTTCTGCTACAAAAATTCAACCATTAACTCGGTAGAATAATGCTATAAGCAGTTCCTTGCTTACACATCAACTGTCTATATGACAATAACATTCCTGCTAAATTCTCCTGGAAATTCGAAGTGCATTTTAATTCATTGAACAACTTCAGTGCCAGGATAACAACACAACTTGTAGAGTAGCCATTTTCCTCTGTTCAAATACAAGCATTGAATCTCATAGTATCATTACAGTAGCATAAAATGTCATATTAAGTTCTAATAAGAAGGAAAACATTGCTGGGATGAAGATAACTGCTGATTACCGATACAGAACTCACCGCCAACATATTTTCTGTTTGTTTGGAGCTAACAAGCAATATATTGGTTAAAACGGTCATTGCACACCACTCCACTTGGCCCAATCCACAAATTGCATCCCTCCATAGACATTGTTCGAGAATCGCACACCAACGGTAAAAGCCATGGCTACGAGTGGGACCTGCTTTGCCAATGGTGATGCCTCCACCACACGTTCTAGCCCATTTATAATCTGGTATCGGGTGTTGGACGAGACTGCCAGAAAAACACCTGAAATTGGTAGGAAATTCACCTCTTTGTTAAATAGAAGAGAAGTGAGTGACCACAATGGTACTGCAAACAATGTCAAGATAAACCATTACTGGGCTTCAAAAGTCCAGCAAACCTTTGAACTATTCACATCAAACATTAGGCAAACTATACACTAGGAAGAGGGATCACGACTATACAAACACTAGTTTATCAGAATGCACCATTCTATATGCTCGAGTAGAAGTAAAATCCAACTTCTGTGGATTAATTTTACTGCAAAAAATGAGGATTCAGAGTTCTCTGACGGCTTGGAGACTATTTTGCAAGGACTACTATCTAAAATAATACAGGATAATGAGGTTTAAGTTTAGTCAGTTGTTTCTAGATATTTCCTCTCTAAATATCTACGATATCTGTGAAGCACAAATATTGATTGAGTGAAGAGGTAAGAAAGAAGACGAACTCTCTATATCACTGGATGAAATGAATTGCCAATACCAGTTTGAGGAGGTTGCCTGCTTGTAAACTATACAGAGTCAAAGTGGTACGTAGACAGCTATACAGAGTAAAAGAACTGTGTTTGTAAAGTTTTTTGAATACAATGATCATTCACACACTCTTTCAAGCAAAGTTCTGGGTTTTCTTCATTTAATTTGTTAGCATGTCTAGTGATAACATATTGGTTCCTTAGATGGCAAAGATTACCATTTGATTGTGCCTAAGTTGCACAAACTGCACAAAGCAGTGGCAAGAACACCACCAGAAAAACAGAGTTGATGCTGGATATTACGTGAGAATTATAGAAGAAGGGAAAAGGAGAGGGAAGAAGAGAAAGGAGATGGGGAAAGAGCGAAGAAGAGGGGAAGAGCGAGAGAGAAAATGGGGAGAGAAATCAATTTATTTCATTATCAAAAGTTGCTTGATTACAATGCAAAAGAGCCCTTTATATAGGTTTCGAAATATTCTATATTAAGGTGGAAAATATCTAATAAAAGCAACTAAATTAGACCTAACTATATTTCCTAAAATACGAATTAAAATTGGAAGCTAAACATAATAATATTCCTTTTAATATTGCATCATTTCTCCTCGGCTGAGAGAAATAAAAATTGGAAGCTAAGTATAATAATATTCTTTCTAATATTGCATAATTTCTCCCCTGGCTGAGAGAATTCGACTCCAGCGAGATAGACTAGTACTTCATACTCCAAGGAGGTTAATCTTTTGTTTTCACCAAAAGCTCGTACTGAACCTTGGATAACATCAGCTTGTTAAACTCATACCAAGGAGGGTAATCTTTCTTAAGAACCAAATACCTGAATTGATCATCTGACATCAACTAAATTTGCAAAGCATCCCAAAAACATGATCTCACTAAAGGGGACGATCTCTTTGTCTAACAAAATATCGATATAGAACTTCAAAAAGCAACAACTTGTGCAACTCTTCCATAAAGTCTTCAATTAATTGTTCATAGTGAGTAGTACAAGGAAAGTAAACTGGCCTGCGAAAACAAGTGAGTGCGACAATGGAGGCTCGAATTTACCCCAAGGAAACAATTCTGTTATATTGAAAACAAAACTCTCATTAAAGTGCAATGGTCAATCAAATAGATTAAGTTCAAGTGAGAAATTCAATATTTTCTTTATACGTGTGGGAAAAGTGTTTGAACGAACAATGACATTGGAAAACGTGGTAACTCGAAAAGCATCACGAAGTGGAGGTAAAATCATATCAAAGTCGATGTTAGAATCATGCAACAGATTAGGTAAGATCAACGTCGGTACGTAATTGAAGATAAGTGGATTGTTTACTTAGATGGTAATACTATAGATAATTCCTCATCCTTGTTATCAGAATATTAAATTGGCTCAACAATGAAAACTTCATTATCTCTCTCAAGAGGAACATAACTAGACTCAAAAGGTGACTGGCGAGATTAGTGTGGTAGACCTAACTTATGACATGCTTGGCGAAGATGAAAGGATAAGTCCCATAGGTTGGCCTGTTTGTAAGTTTCATCTAAGAATTGGAAAGCAGGAATATCATTCAGCAAAATTACAAGATTCAAACCAGTGATAAACTTAGATGTTGTGATGTAGGAAGCCTCATAAATATAACAATTGTTCCATAACGCTTCGAAATGGGCTATATACTCCCTAACAATGAAAGTACCTTGCCTACAATGTAAAAATAATTGATTTAGCAATTGAGTTTTATAATACACAGAAGCGTGTATATTACTTAAAATTCGTTTCATTTCTTCCCACAAAGTGAGGATGCTGACCTAGGTAATCAATGTTACGCAAAATGGAGTTCCAATAACACATAGCAGAATCGACAGGTGCATAGTAGCAAGACAAAGACGACGTAAGTCATCCAAATTGTGAAAGTTAAAGAATCTTTCATGTGTGTTGAGTCAATCAAGAAAAGAGTCTGGTCCAATAAGACTATCAAAGTCCCATAGTTGAAGTGTAATTTGCCTAGATGGAGAATGTGAGTTCCCGACAAAGTTTCTAGATGAGGGATAATTGTTGGAACAAAGAGTGCACACTATCATGGTATTGACTTATGGGCGTGTTGTAGTTGATGCAAAAATTGTACTTAAGACATATGATATTTTTTTAATACGAGATTTGACGATCACAAACACCTAAAGAGAAAGTATAGTTATTAAATATCAGAATTGTATACCATACTAAGAGTCCAACTAATCCACTTGCTATCCCCAATAAATTTCTAGTCCAAATCTGTGGCTGAAATTGTATCCCAAATGCTTTCCTTTTTTTCTTTACAATAACACCTGTTAGGCCTTTCTAAGTTGCAGCATCAACACTGAAAAAAAGCAATTGTGGAAATATGCAAACAACATACTGAAAAGTATTTGTGCCTCAACAAAGCAGGTAGAGATGCAGGTGTAGCAGTATTGAAAGCGTAAAGGTAGCAGACGATGCAATTGTAACACAAATTTTGGTACCGAACTAAGTTGGGAAGTTAGAGTATGGCCAGGAGGTTTGGGTGAAGCGACGGTTGTTACAGAGGCGGCAAGTATGGGTGCAGCAGGTTGTAGAATAAAAGTATGTATGTGACGAAAATAGTGACGGATTTGTGTTGATCAACAGTCTTCGCACTAGTGGGTGTTTGTTTGGAGGCGGTGACTGTTTTTGTGAATTTGATTATGGTGGAATCGGGTTGTGATGGTGAGGTTATTGGTGACGTAAGGTGTGGCCGACGTTGGGGTAGCCGGCGATGGCATACTGCTGTTTTGGGCTAGATGGTGGAGTAACAGGCGGTTATAGGTGGTGATACTAACCGTGTATCATTAGGTTTAGTGTTCGGAGGAAGCAGAAAACGATGTTGGGCTACAATGGGATATAGGTTATACTGGGCTTGGGTTAGGGTGTATTTTGAATAAAGGGATTGGTTATTGGATTGGGTAAGTTATATGGGTAGATTAGCATTGGATATGGGTTGGGCAAGTTTGATTGAAAGTTTACTGGGATTGACTATATAAAGAGAGATAATGGGCCTATATTATATTTGTATTGTGTGTCGGGGTATAGGTGTGCTGATGGTGTTGTGGTGATTTTATTTTATTTTGTTTTATTTTATTTTTTTTCCAGCTGCTAATAAAGGCTGAATTTTGGGTGGTTTGAGGGCTGTTTTCTGAAGGTATAGGGCTGGTGGTACAATTTTATGTTGGTTTATTGTGGTGGAAGGGGATGGTGGATTGAGTGTATATATGGTTTGGAACTTGAGCGTTGTGTGATTGAAGGTAGCAAATGGAGTATTGGTCAAAGGAAACGAAGTGAGCTCTTATACCAAGTTGATGCTGGATGTTACGTGAGAATTATAGAAGGGGGAAGGAGAGGGAAGAAGAGAAAGGAGAGGGGAAAAGAGAGAAGAAGAGGGAGATAGAAATTGGGGAGAGAAATCAATTTATTTCATTATCAAAGGTGGTTTTATTACAATGCAAAAGAGTCCTTTACATAGGGTTGGAAATATTCTATCTTAAGAAAAAAAATATCTAATAAAAGCAACTAAATCATACCTAATTATATTTCCTAAAATATGAATTAAAATTGGAAGCTAAACATAATAATATTGCATCACTTAGCCAAAACCACTAGTGATCTTATGCATTGGTAGAGTTGAGCTAGCCATGGCTACGAGATAATCACCCCTAAACTTAGCTAGGTTAAGTCATTCCTCCAAGATAACTTATATAACGGGCCATGATAGTCTTTATTTTTGTCTTGGGATGCCATGGGTTCCGTTACTCAATTTATTTATTTTTTTGGTTTTTTTTTGTTTTTTAAAGGTAATCAAATATTTTATTAATCAATACACAATACACGGGAAGTGTATTATCAATTTAAAGCAGAAAAGAACAACATAAAATTGGGCAGTCCATCTATATGCCTAGTAGCTGCAACATTAAACCACGTATACAATGTGAAATAAAACATTTCTCTAATTTGCTCTGCTATCCGTGTTTGATCATCAAAACAGCGACTGTTTCTTTCTTTCCACATACACCATACAATACAACCCGAAATAAGATCCCATGCAAGCTTGCAATCCTTATCGCGAAATTTTCTCCTCCATGCCTTTAACACGTCTTCAATACGCCTCGGCATCACCCAATCCATGTGTTGTGATGCCAAAATATTGTGCCACAGTAAACGAGCAGCATCACAATGGAGAAACAAGTGATCAATCATCTCCCCGTCCCTCCGACACATATAACACCACTCTGTAACATAAAAACCTCTTGTTTGTAGATTATCTATCGTTAACACCTGTCCGCTGATCACCGTCCAAAGTAAGAATGCAACCCGTAGAGGCAATTTACATTTCCACACCGATTTCCAGGGGAATGAACTCTGCACAGGATCCAATAAAGATCTAAAATAAGTGCCAACTGAGAAAATCTCATCCCGTGTCAATCTCCACCTACTACGGTCTGCCTCTCCTTCCTGTTGCAAACCTCGTACAAAGAAGTCAAAAACAGTGCATAATCGTCCAATTCCCAATCCTGTAATCCCCAACCAAAAACAATATTCCAACTGATCCTCCCATTATGTATATCTAAGACATCACTCATCGTAGCAAACGGTGTCAACACAATACGAGATAAAGAGAGAAATTTCACCTTCAGCGGTTGTTCTCCACATCAACAATCATCCCAAAAACTGATGGTAGTACCATCCCCCACTGCAAAAGTCAATCTATCCTGAAAATCGCTCCACCCTCACAGGATATATCGCCATAAGCTCACCCCGTAAGAATCGCGATTCTCACCTGAGCACCATCCTCCCTCCATGACACCATATTTTGCCCCTATTATTTCTCTCCAAAAACTCTCCCTCTCCACACCGAAACGCCACAACCACTTGCCCAACATGGCCTTATTGAACAGTACAATGCTCCTCAATCCAAGATCCCCTAGCCTTATGAGAGAACAAACTACACCCTAATTAACCAAATGTAATTTCCTCTCCTCCCCTAAACCTCCCCAAAGAAACTCCCTTTGGATCCTTTCTAGCGTTTTTGCCACTACAACAGGGATAGAAAACAATGATAAGAAACAAGTAGGGAGATTCGACAATGTGGACTTCATGAGAGTAAGACGACCGCCCTTTGAGAGGTACTTACGCTTCCAACCCGCTAGCCTTCTCTCCATCTTTTCTATAATACTGTTCCAAATATTTTCACTCTTAAACCGTGCTCCCAAAGGAAGACCAAGATACATCATAGGCAATTCTGCAACCCTGCAACCCAAAATAGCAGCCAACTCCTCCACATTATCGACCTCTCCCACTTTGATAGCCTCAGATTTTCCCAAATTTATTTTCAATCCAAATACGGCTTCAAAGCACAAGAGCACACGACGTAGGTTCCTAAATTGTTGAACATCTGCATCACAGAAGATCAATGTATCGTCTGCAAATAGCAAATGAGATACTTGCAGCTGATTAACCATAAAACCCCTTAACAAACCTTCTCCCACAGCCTTCTCAAGCATCCTGCTGAAAGCCTCCATTACAATGACAAATAGTAATGGAGACAAAGAATCCCCTTACCTCAATCCCCTGCTACTACGAAAATAACCCTTCGGACTGCCGTTCACCATAACTGAAAAAGAAACTGTAGATATACAAAACTGAATCCAATGACACCACTTAACCTCGAAGCCACATCGCCTAAGCATATACAAGATAAATCCCCAATTTACATGATCATAAGCCTTTTGAATGTCAAGCTTACATAGCATTCCTGGGACTCGCAGGCGTAATCTTGAGTCAATACATTCATTTGCTATAAGTACAGAATCTAAGATCTAACGCCCTTTGATAAAGGCATTCTGAAACTTAGACACCACTTTCCCCAATACCTCTTTTAATCGATTTGCCAAAATCTTCGCAATAATCTTGTACACCCCACTCACTAAGCTAATAGAACGAAAGTCCTTAATATCTATAAGCATAGAACAAAGTGGGCTCTAATATCATTTCGCACGGAATTGATGATTTCAAGTACACATGTGACGCTAACTCTCCAAACTAAGAAGTGTACTCTTCAGCGTGGAACTAGAAATAGACTTCAGCCCAAGTAACAAGTTAACAACAAGAACATAAGTAAGGAGTTAAGCAAGCATACCCCAGAGAGTTGCACTCTTCACTAGGGGTGGAACTGGTATGTCGTCCTCTGACTTTTTTATGCTCCTGATATTCAAAAAATATGGATCGTAAGAAACGATGGTCCTTTCACAAGTTTATAGTGTGCAAGAGTCATCAATTCTATGTAAAAGTCATATAAAATTAGAGACATTTTAATGCATCTCTAGGGTCCATAAAAGGATACTTGATTCAGAACATCTCTTTGTCAATTGTATCAGTAAATATTTTCATGTCCAAATGAAAGAAGGAACCACACAAGCTAAAGAATATTGAAGTTCAGACTACTAAATATATTTTAAATAAAATTCAGATTTGAGTCTTGGACATCACTCATCAACAGCACTATGAATCTAAGACATACAGACATGCACACATGACTCGGAAACATACCGTTTGGCAGTCATTATTAAATTTGCAATTCCTTGGCCGATAATACCACACCCAAACCCAACCAATCCATAGAGAATACCCTGAAAATGAAATGAATATTTTTAAAATGTAAAGAAAGAGAAACGCGGCAAGTCTCTGGTTACTATGAAAAGGAAAAAGTGGCCAAAAAGGCAAAAAGAAAGTATCTGAGCATTTGATGGAAAAGAATGAAATATCAGATTATATGCATATCCATCTGATGTTTCTCTGTTTCAGATGGAGATGCTTTTAAAAAGATAACATTTTAAAAGAGATGCAGGAATTACCTTATAAAAATAGGTGGCAATTCTCTGATTTATTGTATATGTACATCCAGGACGTTCAGCCTCAAAAACACTGCGTCAAATTCACATTTGAAGTTTTAGACTGACTATAGTTAAACTATAAAAACTAAAAAACATGCTTAAAATAAACCAAAAAATGTTAAGTAATCATGTAAGACTTCGCAAGTTAAATATGAAAAAAGAAAAACTGTTACCTACTTTCGTAAATTTAGTTGTTACACTATATAAAAATCCAAAGATTTGAAGAATTACATTTGATTGGCAAGAATGGTGATAAAGAAAACCTGCTAGGAAGAGCTGCATAAGCACTCAACATTTGACCAATAAATCCTTGAGATGCACGTGGCTGTCCAAATCGAGCATATGGAGCTAACATACCAACTAAAGCAACATTGACGACCACTCCAACTAAAAGGTCTGCAGTATACAATTCAAATTCCGCCCAGAAGTCTTTGCCCCTCTTTTTGACTTCCGCAAAAGTTGCACAGCAAGAATCAATCACTATCTACATCAGTAAACAATCACATTGAGATGAATCTATGCATCCCAAGCTAGTGAGAGAACTGAGACGGCAACAAGTTATTAATGGCCAAATATAACTGAACTAATATTAAGTTTTATCAACACAAGCCACAAAATATTGCCATAAAAAGAATTTTAGAAACTTGCAACTTCAATGGATATCCTATCATTCAAAGTGGGCCAATTTTATGCTACTTCATAAAAGCAATCTGGAAAGTCATCAAGCTCTTTATGCAATTGTATCTACAAAATAAAACGCGCTTTATAGACCAAGAAACAACACGAATGTGTTTTACAAACCTCTGTTCCAATTTTGAAAAGAAAGGATGGATCAGCCAACATCCTATTCCGTAGCATAGCACATGACCTCATCAGAAATCCCAGTGGCCAAACAGACCCCTGTCAACGCAAAATTCACAAAGCCATCAGCTATATACCACGGAAGATGCAAAAGGTTTTTCCTGCATAAAGCACACTATGCATGATAACTTTACCTGCAGGTCCACATATCTAAGCAAAAGGACCTTCCGAATACCCACGCTCTTCGCAGCCTCCAGCATATCAATTGGAAGAGTAGTACCACGAGCCTCAGTCTCCCTAATCACTTCCTCAAATTTGAGTATGGGTCCTAACTCTTCCTCCTTATCATCTCCACCTCCATTTCCACCTCCACCTCCACCACCCCCACCAGAAAACTTCCCATTTCCACCACTTCCATCAATCAAATTCCCACCACCATCTCCATTTTCTTTATCACCCTTGAATACAAAATCACTTCCCAAAACGCTGCCATCTTTTTCTACATGACTTCCATCACTTCCTTTAGTTACTGTGGTCACAGCCACATCAGATGCTGGATCAGTCTCCGGATTCAATGCATTCACAATTACAAGCCCCTGCCTATTCCTTTTACACAACAACTGCCCTTTCGTTTTTATTACCTTACTAGAATCTTGAAATTTAAGCAAAGTCAAATTTGGGTTCCAAATGCTTATATCCCTCGAGAAGAGGATCTCTTTTTTCAAATTCTTGAAATATGTCAATCTAATACTTAAAGAACAACCCGCCATTTTGGTGAAAAAACCTGACTTAACGATGCTGTGTAAAGTCGACTGATAAATGCAATAGAACCCCAGCAAAAGGCACAAAATTACAATCTTGACAGCATATATATGCCTAAAGATATAAACAAAATAAGTTATTCAAATGAAAAAGTAAGAGAAGGTTGAGTAATAAAAAACGAAACTTGAAAGGAAACCCGCACCTTGGAGAATCTTGGACTAGCTCTGGATTCCACAGGTATTCTTTTCCGGAAAATGCCACAATTAATAAATGTCAAGAGACGAACCGACGCCGTTTCTCTGCTTAGGTTAAAGCGAGAGAGACGTCAATGTCTGGTTCAGAGATTTTCTTACTTCAGAGTTTTGAGTGTGGTCGGAAGCGGCGGCTCGTTGCGCACTCGCATTACTGCCTGGCACGTGAGAAAAGCTTTCGTGCGTGTGCAACCTCTAGGGTCTTTTTTTTTTTTCTTTTTTTTTTTTGGCTTGACAAATTTTTTTGTGCTGACGTAAAATGGAGCCAGCTCGCTCAATGGGCTAGTCATGGAACAAATCAAGCCGAGTTAGATTTTTTGGATTTTTTGGCGCAAACCACTCGCAATTCGTCCCCAAATTACATTTTCTTCACGCAAGTCGGCCCATGCTTATATTGCACCAAAGTTAGCATGGACCGACTCGTCTGGTGGATCGAATTGAACTCGAATGGTTAATAAGTCAATTCGAGCTACCAGACTCATTTAACATTCTGACACACTATGTCCATTATTAGAAATGGCCACAGAGTGGATTGGGGCGGGCAGGCGAGTGACATTTCTTGTAAGAGATTTCCAAGATGTAAGGAAGTGATGGAGATAAGAGTGGGATATATTATCCCGTTTGATTACTTTTTTATTATTTCATGCAACTTAAAGTTTAAAAATAAAAATAAAAAGAATTTGGGCAAGTTAGAAAGATTTAGAGAGGGGATCATGTTTCCCTGCTCGCCCCAGTTACCTAACTGGGGGAATTTCCCGTCTCAAGGTAACTGGGGGAATTTCCCGCCTCAATTGAGACGAGGAAATGCAGGATGAGTATTTTGTCATCCCAAATACATAAATTGCAAAAAATAAAAATTCTACACTACATGGAATGATGGCAAAATTACCTGCCATGAATAAATCCCACCTTAAATGGGATGGGAACCCTACTCAATTTTTTTTAAATTAAAAATAATTTATTAATTAGTCCGGGTGTTAAATGAAAAAATTTTAAGGGATAATTGCAACAGAGGCTCCAAACCTTTCAAATGTTAGGAGACTTTCTCCAAATCTTTGATTTGTTGCAATCGTCATCCTTAACTTTTTCAAACGTTACAAGTGAGGCCCTATTAGTTGAAAAATATCCAATTTACCATTAGTTGATCAAAAAATTGAGTTAGGCCACATTTTAATATTTTTATGATGGACAAAATAGTACTTTCTATTCAACAAATTAAATAATTACAATAATTAATTAAAAAAACAAAAAAGGGAAAAAATTATTAAAAAAATAGATTTTAAATCTACAAGCTCGTCTCTCTAGTGGAGTAGCACTTCTTCGTCGTTGACTCCTCTGCGGGCGACGGCTCCTCATCTACAAGCCCAATTTCCCCCTTAGAAAAAATGCTTCTCTTCTCCAATGAATAGTAAATCAAGGCAGTTCTTCACCAGATTTCTCAAAAGTGCTCCCAACAATTTTTACTTTTTTCCCAAGAAAAGTGCTTCTCCACACTCTTTTATCATTGTACACGTTGAGCTCCAACATTTCCAACACCATGGATTCAACATCATGGACAAAGAATTCAAGCTTCTCACCCCATCGAGGATTGAGATCCCAAAAAATTGTCTTGGTACAGCACTGTTAGCCCTCAAAATCCATGATCACATGTGCATTGTCCATCTTTGGGCATCATATTCTTGATCAATTTGACATGGAGAAATATCAAATTCAATTTGAAAATTCATTTTACAAAATTGATTTGGGAAAATTCGATTTGAGAAATAAGTACCTAAAGAAAGTGATTTATAGTCTTGGGTAACTAAAGGGTGAAGGGAGAAGTGGTGGTGACCATGGTGATCGTGACTGTTTTGGTTAGAGTGGGGGAAACATTTTTCATTTTTTTTTTTTCGGTTTTTCAAATTTAATCAATGTAATTATTTAACTTGGTAAATAAAAAGTTACTATTTTAATATTAAAAATGTGGTCAAACTCAATTGGAATCGAAACGGGATTGAACCAAGCAAGCCACTTCAGTCAGCGTCTGACCCAATTCAGGTAATTTCAGATAAAATAGTTTGTGTGGTTGTGTTCTAAAGCAGGTGATGAAGTCAAAGAACCATTCTATCATCTCGATAAAAACCATCCTATGCCCCTTATATACAAAAACAATCACACTATACAGGAAAAAGAAATAATAATAATAATTCAATACATAAAGCACAAAATTTCATCACAGAGTTTGCTTTATACTGCTGCTATACCCTTGTTTTCATGTCTGATCCTCATGCTTGAAAAGAGCCATCCTTTGAGACCGCAAACTATTCTCCCTGTTAATGAGGGCATCAATGTAATTCTGAATCCTATACCTCTCTGTGTTCGTTAAAGAAAACGGAGGATTCAGAATCAGGCATGGTGCTTCCACTAGAATAAATACTAATAAGCACACCGCTTTTGAATAGAAAATTACTGCACTTTCTGTATATCCCATATACTCGTCAACCTGAAAACCATGCCAAGTTAAATAATTTTATTCATAGTGAATTAGTCTTTGACATTTTGCAAATAAAAATTTCAGTAACGTCTGTCCATAGAATGTTACTACAAAATTTGTAAGGATTTTTCATATCAATTGAAAGTAATAGGAGAAAAGCTAGGGCTTATTTGATGGTGATTTTGAGAATTGAATTTTTAAATGTTAAAGAGAGAAGTAAGTCCTATCTGTGAGAGAAAAAGTCCAAAATAACGGCTGAAATAGTGAAATAACGATCAAAAACTTATTTTTTTGAGAAGAAAAATCAATACCAAACATGCACATAATTCAGATAACTATAAAGTCATCAATAATTTGGACCTCGCAAATCTTTCAATTCATACGTCTACCTCTCGCACACATTACAACAGCAGATTCAATATAAAATTAACGACAATACTTACAGCCGCATGTTTGCCTAAAGCAAGGGCAGATTGATATATCAGCTCCAATGCGTCTGGCAAGTCCATATTTCCTGAAATCAAGACAACAAAATTTGGCATACATTCTTGAAGACTAGATACAACTATTGGACATGGACATCCATACAGAGACAGGAAATGGAATATTCTTAACCCCAAGATAGGTATGACGATAAAACCCAGTCGACTCGAGACCAACGGCCCCCCAACCAAATGGGGCCGGAACTCCTTGCCCGTAGGGTTGGAGGGGCAGGGCCGGGGATCAGCCGCCACACCCCGTTTAGTATTACTTCTTAAAGACAAAAAGAAAAAATATATAGTATGATGCTGATAAACAGGGCAAATGAGTGAACTGTCTGCCCCGTTACCATCCCTACCCCGAGGGTCGGAGAGTCACCAACCATCAACAAAATGTAGATAAAATGCCAGTAAAATTTTACTTTATCTGCAGTGACAATATATATGAGCAAATACTTGCACATGAACGGATACATGTCTAGTGGAACCGTGGAAATATTCAAAGAAGAGAATGGATAGCTTTGCCATTCAACCATCAAGCATGCAGATTCTCGAAATTGGCCCTGCTCATAGATGCATCCACTAATTTCTTCTTGTCCAGTCCTTGTTCGTGCATGTGTATTCTCTCTCTTTACTTCTTATTTTCCATTTTTACTCTTCCAAGAGAGAGGGGAGGGGGTTAATCAACGTGTCGTATCAGTACTTTTTTGAAAAATCTTGGCATTTCTGACACATGTTGTGTCATGTTAGACACATCCGTGTCGGTATATCATAAATTGCAGCTTCCTGATACTAGGAGTGCAAAATGATTTAATATTTTGACCAGAAGCTAAGCTGCCAGGATTCAAAGTTGTCCATGATAATCTCCAAAAGTAGGATTGCATCCATGTCTTATTGACTTTTAGCTACAAAAGAAGGTGAAAAACTATACAGTATATTAAGACATTAAATCCATACCAGGTTCTATCACTTTAGCAAGTTCTTCCGCATACCCAACTTCATGAACAAATGCTCTTTCTATTTGAGAATGTATATCCATTGGCCCATGAATGTTAATATCATCAGAACAATCTAGTACATCAGGACTATGCCGCACCTTAGAGATTTCCTTAAATTTTATTGTCTTTTGGATAGGACTCCCTTCAGTAGTTGATGCAGCATGAGTATGACAAATATACAATGCTTGTTTCCATATAGCAAGAGTTAGAAGCTGAATTGAAAATGCTTCCAGTTGTTTTCCTGCCTCAATCTAATAAAAGGTAGTGACATTAGTCTGTATACATGTATTTAAACATGCATAATAGCCATAGCGAGAATTAGAAGCTGAATTGAAAATGCTTCCAGTTGTTTCCTGCCTCAATCTAATAAATGGTAGTGACATTAGTCCATATACATGTTATATCAAAACATGCATGATAGCCATTTTCCTGCCTTAATCTAATAAATGGTAGTGACACTAGTCCATATACATGTCATATCAAGACATGCATAATAGCCATTTCAACAGAAAATTCAAAATGATATGGAGTTTTCGATCAAGAAGGAAAGTCTCAGGGTTGCTGATGCATGCAGGGGCCATGCACTAGAGTCTAAATTTAGTACCATTGAGGACTTACTGCTGAATTGGCAGAATATAATGGCATAGCTTGATATAAATATGTTGGCAGAATCTAAAGGTATAGCTTCATATAAACATGTTCCATTTACCACAGCTCTAAGAATCATCTTTCCGAATATAATGTTATGGTAAATGGTGTGATACCAGTACACCGAGATAAAATTAGATTATACTACTACAATGCCATCACAGTCAGGCTGTCAAATAAATAGGAAAAAAAATAAAAAATCAGAAGAGAGATTTCACCGGGTCACCCGTGTTCGGATTGTTCGAGCTGACTACTACCATCCTAAGAGTGATGAATTGAATTGTCTACACACTAATCTCTTAACAGTTTTAATTATAACTCAACGTTAGGAATAAACTGAATAGATAAAATTTTAGAGCTATTTAATTTGTAGTGGGATAAAAATGTAACCTTCAATCATTTCTTTCTCCTGTACTTCTCGTTAAACTTCCCATCAAATTATCAATCAACAGTAGTACAAAAAATGGCACTACTTGTTTAGTTTACCTTCTCACTCACTAAATCAGTGATGGCAGATGCACAGAGTTGCAATGACTTGATCCTTGTCATGAAGTCAGTTGATGGCTTTTCAAAAGTGTCTCCTGTATCCATTGATCCTTGTGGAGTCCCAGAAGCAGAGCTTCGACTTTCTAGGCCTCCAGTGTAACCAACTCTGGAAGTTGCTGCACCAATTATTGGCACCGGAGCACTTGGTGTGGAAGTCATATTTACAGAGTTAAGAGATGGACTACCAGATTTAGATGGCAAATGACCTTGCATAGAAGCACGTGCAGAAGATGACAAGTCTGTAGGGGGACCAGGCACGAGGACATATTCCTGATCGATGGACTCGAATGAATCCACGTCTATCCAGCCAATGCAAATAAGACAATAGAGAGGAACATCTTTTAGCAAGACCGTCTGTACATCAAGGCAATTATACTTGAAACTAAAATTTGGACTATTTATAAAAGAACACCTTTCGGGAGAGCATTTAGTTGCCTGAAGTCCAAGGTTTTACGAGATCCTTTCAGGTTTCCCTCTGAAAGTCGACGGCTGCCAAGACTAGACCCTGGAATTTCTGTTTTACGTGGGGGACAATTAAAGTTGGAAATATCCCCTTTGTCTGAGAGACTAAAAACTTCCCTCTTATCAGATTTTAAATCAAGAGAAAATCGATATGTGGATCTCATGGGTGACATCCTTAACAGGGATGGACGTGAATGAAGCCCACTGGAATCATCATCTAGACTGAAGGGCAAGCAATCTTCCTGTGAACCATCTACTGGGTTCCTTTCAGAAAAAGGGAAATCATCTACTGGTCTTTCTGATTGTTTATTCCTTCATATAACAAAGAAATTTATCTTTCTCAACCAAAAACAACGTTGTTAAGTAAAGATAATAAGAATTATGCTATCAACCTCATTTACCTGACTGTATCTTGAGGTTGTCCCTGGGAAAGATAGGGATGATTAAAAAACTCTTCAAATGTCAATCGCTCCACTGTGAATACGATAAAATAGAAGTTTGATAAAAACAAAAACTTCTGAGAATATAAGCCTTTAAATTATATATGTTGATCTATGTGAATCACAAGAGAAATTGTCAGACGTAGACGACCACACAACATATTTGTTGGTTACTTTCTAAGGATATAATAAATATAAGCATTTATATCAGAATAATTTTTCAAGAAACATGGCTTTGAAGTCAAAATATCAGATCCCAGTGTTAAAATAGATCTCAAGGAACGTAAAAACAGTGGATTGAGATTACAGTTCCAAAAGCTCGCCTGTTGTACACCACTAAATCGTTTTAATCAAATTATTTATAGAGTAGAGTAAACAGTAAGCAGTTAAAAACATATTTTTTGGTGGGTCAAACTCTATTGCAAATGGCAACATAATAAATCAAGTTTGCTTATTTCGTATGTTAGAAGGAAAACGGATATTCATTCTATCAGAAATACTACAATACGTATTTATTAATTTAATACTATGGTTGCCACGATGATGTACCCTGTACTGTCTGTACCCAATATGCAAACATCATGAAATACCTGGATTACAGCGCAGCAATTTCCTACACAAATCCATGCAATCAGGACTCAAATTCTTCGCCTCTGGTGGAAATTGCAATTCAGTCGATTTTTTAATGTTGTCAAGCAGCTGCAAAATTCATTACAGATTGGATTAAAGCAATGAAGAGCAACTCTCACCATCAAAACTCCAGCATGATAAAAAAATTGAGATAAGCAAACCTGTATCTGATTGTTTCCTGTATATGGAGTCTTCCCAGTGACAAGTTGAAATAGAATGGCACCAACACTCCAGAGATCTGCCTGCATTTTCAGCTCAAAATATATAGTGGATTAAGATGATGGATCATTCTTGGATAATGTACAAGATGAATCTCACCTTCGCATCATACTTCTGAAGTTGCATTATTTCAGGAGCCATGTATAGTGGCGAACCACAAAAGGTTTCTGCAAGGACTCTATGTTGTAGAAATCTGGCAAAAGAAGAAGGAATTTCTAAACTGCAAATTTTAATCTCCACGTGGATCATGATGCCACTTTATATAAATCTTAGGCGTGTTTCTCAACACTAGCATATTATCAAGATAAAAAGTATCTTAATGAATACAAAGAGGAAATATAATTTATATGTATACTTAAAGACAAGTCTGAGATTCAGAATTAGAAAAAATGAGAGCTAAGGAAATGCCCTAAACAATACAGAAAAGAGAAGAAAGGAATAAATTGAAAAAAGAAGTGTCCAAACTGCCACAATTCTAAGACCGAAAAATGGTTAAATGGTTAATGTGTTTGTGATCATAAAACAGTACAAACTATACTCCAAATCATTCTGGTTTTTTCACAGTGCTTCAGGCTCCATTCAGATTCATATATTATCAAGATTACAGATTCTAACTGACACGAGTCTAACAGTCAGGTAATCATGATTGTGCACTTGACCTTCCCCCCGGGGGGGGGGGGGGGGGAAAGAGAAATTTGTCAATGCAAACTGACTGGTTGGCATTAAAATACTTAATTATAGCCTGAATTCAGCATTTAAACATTATGTCATTCCTTCTAGAAGTAAGAAAAAGACAAGGCAATGCTCTCCTCATTACAAACAGGAAGAATAACTTACATATATGCAGTGAAAGAACATAAGATCATCAAGAATAAAATATATTGTTCTTTCTCTACTGTGAGTAAAGGCACCTTGGTATTTTTTTTGATAAATAATCGAGTGTTTTATTAATTAGTATTGGGGCTCCATTGCACCAGTCAAATGGGAACCTAAAGATATTATTTACTGAAGTTAAAGTCTGTCTTCTGATTATTAGTCTATACAGGTTGATGCAATCTAAGAATCATTATAATGTTTCACTAAACAATTCATTATAAATGAAGCTTTATTACTGTTCTATCACAATAATTGATTTTACTTTGAGAAGATTTCTTCTGGTTGAATATTATAAATGTAGCTTTATTTCTATGATTGCAGGGAATTTGATGTACTTGTACAGTTATACTAATTGACGTTGATAATAAGTCCATATTACCAATCGTGAAATAAAACATATATTTCACGAATTAATTACAAATACTTACGCAGTTAGATACACTAAAATGCTCGCTATTACTGCCCACATGATTTACCTCAAGAAACATTATCTAGAGTTTTAGAACTTTTCACTAGCGATTTACAAATGAAAAGGATCTTATAAATTCTCAAAATATGACTATATATTCTGCATAATTTAATTTTCTCTATATAAGGGACTTCATATCATTTAACAAAATTGTATTTTAAAGCACAATCAAGCCAACTTTTCTAATTTAATTTGAAAAAGACATGAGACTTCTGTTTTAATACGAACTTATTATCAAGATTATGTAAAGCCATCCTTTTAGGTTGTGGGGTGTGTGTGTGTGTGTGTGTGTACAACCAATACGATCCTTTTGAGGACCTCCATGATCAAGCATAGAATATTATTTCAACGCAACTATAAAAAATATATAGAAAGTTTATCTTGTAATTTAGGAGTAAGGAATGTAAATATTCTATATCCGATAAAGTACCATAAAGATAATAATTAAGCCCTTGTTTGGGCTCCATTATTCAAAAAATACATTTTTTCAAAACTCATTTTCAACCACACATTTTTCAATAAAATAATATTAGACGTAAACCAAAAAAAATTCTTATTTTTTAACCACACATTCTCAAAAAACATTATTCCAAAACACATTTTCTCCAAAAATTTAATTTTAATGGAGCCCAAACAAGGGCTAAGTTGTTCATCACCCAAGATTATTCATTGTGAAAGAGCTGAAAATACATGTTGTGTAGGACCGAGGAATATAAAATGTTGTTTTATTTGTAATAACCAGGTTGATAAAATTCTGTTTTAAAGACAAAAAAAAAAAATGCTGAAAAGTAATTATCAATGTTGGCACACGAGCATCATGCCTCATCAGATAAACACTATAAAAGTTTCACAATTTGCAATCTTAAATCCGATGGTTTGAGAATTTACCAAATTTCTAGATCTAACTTTAATAGTCTATTAAATAACACTAACTAAATGAAATCCAAACAAAGTCAACTGCTATTTCCACCACGTCAGAAACAGGTAAATTGCATTTTTAGGTATGTAATAAACTGAAGGCTGAAAGGACTGGCCTATAAAAAAAAGGATAGTGACTCGTAAAACGACTACATTAAATAAGGAATCATTGTTCACTGAAAGCTTGGATGGATTGTTGATTGATACAGAAAACTATGATAAAGATTTTAAAACAAAACTCGTGATATAATGATCTTACAAAAAAAAATTGCATTTCCTTTGTTTTATATACTGCAATACCCTAGAGCATAATGCAGTTGAGATGGTGTAATCTAAGCATCCGTTTGTATAGTGGAAGACTTTCCAATCATTAGATCATTACAAAGTAAGCTATTATTCCACTTAAAATAAATGGCTGGAAGAGGAGAGTGGGGAAAAAGAAGAAAAAATAGGTAAACAATTAACATGAACATGCAACCAAACGATGTTTTTGGTAGAATAACCAGAGATAAATTATAAGCAAATAAGGACATACATTTCCATCACAAAATGTTCCTTGTATAGAAGTATAGGAAACATGTATATTGAAGAACCCCTGATTTTATATAAAGACAACAATCACCAAACTTGGTGAAAAATCACCCAGCAGGTAAGTTGAAACAAACCTGGGGTTTTAAATCCCGATGTATAAGGTTGTTTTCACGCATTATTTTAAGACCTGCCGCTGCAGTACGGAACACATTACATTAACATGTAAGTTTGAGAAATGAAACACATAATCAAGAAATGGGAAAAAATAAAAAATAAAATAAATAGATACCAAGTTGCTGCATAAAGATCTTTGCAGTTGCTTCAGGGATTCTTCCTAGGCGTTGTTGAATATACATTGATAGGTCACCCCCTTTGCAGTACTCCAAAATGATATATATCTTATCACGTTCCTAAAAACATACAAAAGGAAGCTTGATTACAAACAAAAGTCATTCGAGTATGATAATTAAACTGCCAAGGAAAATGTTAACATTGTTTCTTTGAGCAGTAAAAATTATTTTCATGCAACAATCATATTGTATTACTTCCGTCCAAAGACATTCATTAACAATAAAGTGAATTGGGATGACATAGCATTTGCTACGCCATCATGAAATGCAAAAAAAGGCATAATATGGTAATATTAGGTTTATGGGGAAGGCAAAACATTCTGACAAGCCGTGTTGGCCAAAATGGTGGCTCAAAAAAGCATCTCTTCAAGGAAGTTAATGCCTTAAGTCTTTTTCAAACAGGTTAAAAGCAGACTGACTGCTCATTTACAAATGCACAATTATGACAAGAATCAACCAGTCATTAAAATGAGTATATCCACAACCCAAAAACATAAAAGATATGCATTCCCCTAAATGATCAAGATATGACAAATAACACTTGTCGATTTCACTAGTGGTTGACTATCAGTCTATCACAACTTCTTGTGTTTTATTTCCCCCCTCCTTTTTCCATCATTGCATTCTGGATACTTGGAGTTCTCCTTTTTATTTTTTTTATTTTTATTTTTTTGTATTTTATTTTATTTTTTTTATTTTTTTGGTTTGATTCTTGTTCATTCTATACCTTGTCATACCCAATCCATCCAAGCAAAGTAACTAGTAACTTTGTCAGAGTAATAACCACATTACTAAAGGAAATTCTAGATAAAATCAGATACATAAATTCACAAATTCATATCATCTTAAAGCAAAACTGTACATTTTAACTTCATAGTCATAATATTCCACAAACAAAATCCTGTTTAATTTAAATTTAAAAGATAATAGAATAAATATATACAGCAAGTAATATTCACCAATTTAGAAATTTCTCATTCCAATGAAACTCAAATAACCAAAGGAAATAAATAAAAATTAACTAAGCTCTTCGACTTTATCTTCTCTTCATAAACAATTCTCAAAATGAAAATAACAGTAAAAATGAGAATAGCACCGACCTCGATCATATCATGCAAACGGATGATGTTAGGATGATTGATTTTCTTTAGGATGAATATCTCGGACTTGAGGCTCTCCTGTAGCTTCAAATTCAACTTGGCGGTGATGATCTCCTTAATTGCCACCTCGATACCGTGAACTCGGTGGCGCGCATGCCAAACCGTTGAAAATGATCCCGACCCTATTTGCCTCCCAACCATGTAATCCCCCACCGCATAGTACTTCCCACCGCCACTCCTCATTGAGTGAGCCATTAATTTTACAATATCGAACCACGCCCTTATTCTTTCGGCTCAAAACAAGAACAATAAGAAGAAGAAGAGTTTAGTTTTTGGTTTTTGGCTTTGGATTTTCTCTTCCTTCAATTTTGGGAGTTTCTTCTTAATGGTGAGCTAGAAGACGTAAATAATAATATAAGCGCTTTGCATCTCGATTAAATTATTGATAATCATTGATCCAGTTGCTTCGCTGATTTGAGTTTCAATGTGAAATTTGAAATTTATGAGATTGTACAGAACCGATTCGGGTTGGTGGAACGGAGGTGAAAGTGAGGAATAAGTGGAAATATGGCCTTTGACCATTAAAAAAAAAAAAAAAAAGGTTTGAAACATTAAAAATCAATGAAATCCTGTTTGGCCCCGTTATATTAGATTCTATTTTTCTCTCTCCTATTTTTAACCACACAATTTTTCATAAAATAATATTACACATAAATCCAAAAATTTTATTTCTTTTTCAACCACTTATTTTTTTAACAAAATATTATTCCTCCCATTTCCATTATCAGAAATGGGGACCAAACGGGGGCGAAGTCTCATTTATATCGTCCAAATTTAAAAAAGAAAAAGAGAAAAAATACACTATTCATTTGACTGGAATTCAGACACAGAAAAAAGGAGAGAAACCAACGCCTAGACATCGATCGTCACTTGATGCTGATCAAAAGCCAAGAAATTTGAGAATTTTTGAAAAGTTTCTTGAAACCATTGTGGACAATTAATTTTTCAAATAAATCATGCTTATTCTCGAATTTTGTTTAAAAATATATGCAAAAAATGATGGTATATGATTCTTGTAAAAGGCGAATTGTGACTTGTTTCGATGGCGGAGATCACCTGGGATAAAGCAGGCGGCAACGACGTTACCGTCTAGATCCAGACGACTCAAACAATTGGGCCTGGCCATTTGGATCCAGATGTCCGTTTGGGCTGGCCTAGCCTTTTTTTTTTAATATTGAATTTAATTATTTATAAATATTTCATGAATTATGTAAATTGTTTATTTGAGTAAAATAATTAATTATTTTTTATTTCATTTTATTTAAAATATAAATAATGAAATAAACAATTTAAATAAATATCATAAACAACTAAATATTCAATAAACAATTAAAATTAATAAGAAATTAATATAAATAATTAAATGAAGTAAATAAATATGAAATAAACAATTAAATTAAATAATTAAATAGAGTAATTAAATATTAAACAAACAATATACATAACCAATTAAAATAATTAATGAAATTTTTAAATAAAAAATTAAATTAAATAATTTAATAAATCAATATTTAATTTAAATGTTTATTTAAATATTTAAGCAATTACTTTAATTGTTTATGTTTATTATTTGTTTAATATATAATTATTTATTTTATACTTTATTTGTTTATTTAAATATTTCATGAATTACGTTGATTATTTATGTACATTGTTTATTTAAGTAAATAATAAATACCTAATTGAAATAAATTAAATAAATATTAATAAAACGATTAAAATAATTAATTGATATTAATTAAGTAATTAATTAACATGAATAACAAATAAATATGAAGAATAAAAATAGTTTAAATCAATGATTAAATATTAAATAAACAATTGAAATAAATAATTAGCATTTAAACATTAAATAAATAAGTTAAATGAACAATAAATATAAGTAATAAAAAATAAGTAATTAAATATTAAATAAACAATTTAATAAACAATTGAAATAAATAATTAGCATTTAAACATTAAATAAATAAGTTAAATGAACAATAAATATAAGTAATAAAAAATAAGTAATTAAATATTAAATAAACAATTTAATAAACAATTGAAATAAATAATTAGCATTTCAGATTGAATAAATAATTTAAATCAATCATAAATATAAATAATAAATATAAGTAATTAAATATTAAATAAACAATTGAAATAAATAATTAACATTCAAAATAAACAATTAAACATTCATTTAACAATTAAAATAAATATTAAATTAACATGTAAACAATTAAAATAAATAATTTAAATACACATTTAAATATTAAATAAATTAATTAAATGAACAATAAATTTAAATAATTTAAACAATAATTTAAATAAGTAAATGAACAACAATTTAAATAAGTAAATAAATAATTTAATTTTCAAATATTATGTTTTATCCATTGTCTCTTACGCAAGGTCCTAACGTTTTAAATTTTACGGGATAGATTATCATTTGGACGCCGTCATAAGACAGATTCCCAACAAAGTTACATCGAATTGTAACTTTGCCAACTTCACATTAATTTTAAATTTGTTGGATGAGGAGTAAGCAGACGTGTTACGTCGATCCTATTTATGACGGTAACTCTGGCACGATTAGGAAACGCATTCGGGAATACGACAATACGTCTGACAAGTTGAAGTTAGGGATAGTATTTATACTGGAAAGCATGCTGAGTTGTCATCACAAGAGACATCGATCAACGTCTTTCATTTGAAGGTTATTGATGACATTGACACATTCAACAACTATCCATGGGGTGAAACTGATAGTTATTAGCTCTTCTCGACGATCCTGAAGTACGTATTATTCATTTGTAATTTATGTTGTACGTCATTTTGAAATCTCGATGAAATGTTAATATATCAGTTTGAAGTGCTCATTGAGTTGACACCATTGATAGAGGAGCAGGGTCAGAGTCATATCCGAGGAATGTAACAGAGAAGGTGGCGGAGATGGTGATGGGAAGGGTAGCAGTGGAGGGGTGGGAATGTACACAGATGTTTCATTAGAATCGTTATGGATGTCAGTAGGGATGAGAGAGGTGCTAGTGGAGGGGACGAAATTATTGTATATATTGTAAAATTTATTTAAATAAGGTAATGAAATATTAAATACATAATATACACAACCAATTAAGATAATTCATAAGAATGTCCATAATGTATATGTGAAATTCTATAAGTGGAGTATCGAAAAAATTGTTTTTCCACTCTCCAATGACGTTATGTCACTTATATATTATGGTATAATATTTTCTTTTAAATAAGTAATTAAATATTAATTACTAATAATATACATAATTAATTAAGATAATTAATGAAATACCTAAATAAGAAATTAAATTAAATATTATTTTTATTTAAATGTCTTCAAGTTGCTGAATAACCATGATATGCTTCCGGCAAAAACTTCAGCTATACCATTTATTATTGAATATCCCGATCAATCACAAATGTAAGGTTCTCAATGTCCCTAATTACAGTGATTAAATAAATAATTAAAACAGGTGATTAATATTAAATAAATAATATACATAACCAATTAAGATAATTAATTAATAAAATATTTAAAGAATAAATTAAATTAAATATGAATTTTCTATTCAAATAAGTGATTAAATAAAGTAATGAAATTCTGTGTCTATATATGATTATAATCCTATGAACAAATTTTGTATGTAACAGTGAGATCATAGTAAGTAGTAACTATCTCGAGAATAATGTTTAGATGTACAAAAAATTGATAGGGTTTCGACTTATTGGGAATTAACAAATTTCATTCTCTAATTACTTTATGAAAGTAGAATGTAGTAGTATTAGTTAGGAAACTTTAACATTTTAACACAATCAATATGCTTTGTCTTTCATTTTTTCCAAACCACAAACAAGTTTATTAATCATTTAGGCATACAAACAGTCATTTTCTATCCAAACTTTACAACTCATAAGTATATAATAAATTCAAAAACAACAAATAAAAGAAAGAACAATGGAAAAATGGCTTGAATGAAAATATTAGACTTGTCAAAAGAAAAAAGAGAAATAGGCAATTCAAGTAAAAGTTAGCAGACTAACACGCAAAGGCAACTGGCGATTCATTTAGAAGTGCCAGACAAGCGTCAAATATTAGGGAAATGAAAGTTTATGTTGGGAAACTTTAGACGTGATTTGTCAACGTGAATTGTATGTATATATTTCATATGATTTTGGAATAATTTTAATTTAGTTTATCTAGTGGGGACATGCGTTTTGAACTTTTTAAACCATAAGTCAATACTGATAAACCTAATTTAATTTCTATAATTATTTCAATAGGCTGATTGTAATTTGTATTATTAAATTTGTATTTTTCTGAAAAGTGAAAACAATAAAATATTTAAGTTAATAAAATTAATGTTTTAGTTAAAAAATTTAAAAACCGTTCAATTCGATTTTGTGCGATTTTTGGAAATCAAAACCTAAACCAACGGTTTGAAATGATTTGGCTCAGTTTGAGGGAAAAATCACGGGTTCACTTGAACTCGAACCAACGGTTTCAACTCAACGATTTCGATTCGATTTGTAGTTTTGCAATTTTTTTTGCAACCCTAATACATTTCTGTAAACGATGTACTCCTTGTTTTCAAATAGTAGCAACCACATTTCTTTCACTCGTCCATTTCCATTCCTATTGACAAATTTCATTTGTTCACTGAAGTAATAAATTGGGATACATGTTGATGTCATATCTGCATTACGAATTAAAATAGCATAAAATAATTAGATAAAAGGTAGGGAGTGTGAAGGTAAAAAAAAATTGACCGTCCGTTACGGACAATTCGAAAGGTTCGGGCAGTCCGGATTCAGGTGTCCAGCGATCAGGATCCGGACTTGGCCGGATCTTTTTTTTTTTCATTTTGATTTATTTTTGTGAATATTGTAAGAAGAAATTAAATTAAGTATTAATTTTTTTTATTGAAGTAAGTGTTTTAAAAAATAATTAAATATAAAGTGAAAAGTGTTTGATTTTTAATTTATAACTTAAGAGTGTTTGATTTTTAATTTGTAACTTAAGGGTATTTTTGTCTTTTTAAATAAAATTCCATCTTTATAATTGGATAAAATACTTAAGGATATTTTTGTATTTTCTTCAACAAAAGGCCATTTTGATGATTGGCAAAAAATTTTGGTTAAAGTGAAAAAAAGGATATTTTGACTTGGCCCTTCATAAAAGTAACCCGGTGAAAGTTGGGCTTTCATTCATTCATATATATATAGATCAGGTGTTTGAGTTTTTGCTCGACTAATATTGAGGAGTGACGATCTTTTCTCGGGTTCGCCATTCGAATAAATTCGGATGAGGTCACAGTTTATACACATTTGGATCCGGCATTCGAGAGGCGATTCTTTAATCTGTGGACCTCCATTTATGATGTACGACATTTATGATGTACGAACAAGACCCTCGAAGAGACGAAAATGTGCAACGTAACTTTACCTCTACAGAATATCTACCTTTCAATATAAAT